ATAAAAAATGTTGAGAAGCCCAAATTGCCCAAACTAGTTTGGGCTTTGAGAAAACAGTTTGGACCAGAAACCTTAGTGATACTGCGCAATGTGTGGCGCAGTGTTTTCACAAAATATAATAATAAAAATAAAAATAGAAATGATGTCATTTTCTCGTGACTTCCGCAGTAATTTGGTTTGGTTAGATCGGCAACGCGGGACCTCTCTATCGGTCCTTATTTTACTATCTCACAACATTAACTTGTTTCCATATTTGATCATTGTAAAAAATCTCTGTATCTTTAGTGGTAGATTTAATGTATATTTTTGCCTGTTCAGTAACTTGAGTTGCAATCATTAAATGTTGGTCTGCCTGATTGAAAATAAACCAGCACAAATATTTACCTGATATTTCAAGTACATTAAAAAAATGATATTGCATTCATTAACTTCAACATTTTCACTTTGTCTTCAATGTGATTATATATACGATTTGATAAATGATTTAACCAAAAATTGTCAATGTGGCCATTTTTTGGGAATCCATCTCACAAATACAAATATATGTAAAGCAAATTATTTTTATCAAAGTGAGAATGAACAAGTCAAAAAATTGAACAACAAGTTACAAGCTGGCTGTATAGTTTATAACCATGTGGAGAAGTAGTCCCATGGGTAGCTACAGCCAGCAGCAGAGGTGTGGTCCATATCCATGCAGAGATGAGTCCCATGGATAGCTGCATAAATGTAACAAAGCTATCCAAAGAAATTTTATACTTCGAATTGTTTCTGGAAATGTATTGCATTCTGTTTCTCATTTCCTGGACCATGAATAGTTATATAATGTATTTGTTTTTCAATTGCTCTTGTTACAGAAGCTTTATCCATAGTGAGTTTGACAACTTTCCATGCCTTATGGTATTGAAGAACATCCCAACCTTCACAAGGAGTATTTAGAAAGTAGCTAAATCCAGGCCTTCCGGTGTCTGATAACATTATTGCAACAAATATGTCACTGTAACTTGAACTAATATCTTAAGAATGTAACTTTTCATAAACAAATTATAAGAATTAGAAATATTGAAAGTCATATTAATTTCCTTAGAAAAGGAATCATGCAAGTAATAAGTTGTAACAAAAAAATAAATCAAGGTTTACCAATTACAAATTAAACAATAATAGAACAAACAGGAGCTGCAATCCAGGATTGAAATTACTTTTTATAAAAGTTGTGGGAAAATTAATTGGTTAAAACATTGTAGATCTGCACATGGAAAATTTCTTATATTGAATTTTTCAATAACAAGCTTACAACTGAGAACACAATGTGAGCTTTTGTCTTTTACTTATTACACAATGACATCACTCAGGTCAAGACAACAGCTTATTTTATTAATTCGAAACATATAAATAGGATGGCCGTCTCCACATTTTTTTTCGTAACCAACCATTTGTTATTATTATTAAGCATGGATTCTCAGATAGCTTAGATCGTATTTAAAATCTTTAACATAATTATAAATAATGTCTTCAACAAATTTACCCGATGGCAGTTTCCATTTTTATCAGTCGACATCTGTTTATATTTATTCTCAAATTCAATCAAAGAATCTTCAGTCATCTCATTATTATCACATTCCTTAATTAAATTAGAAAGAATTAACATATTAATAATTGAATACCAATAGTTAAACACAACATTTCGATTCAAAAAGAAGTTGCTGTGCCTCATCTTGTAATCGATCAATTTGTTGACTATAACTTGTATTAATATCTATTGCAAGAGTTTATAAAAAACATCATTCAGCACATGACGTGTTGCCTTCATATATGAGGATCAAATATATTAATTACCAGCTTGACTGGCTTGATCCTCAGGACATATAGTGGAATAACTTCATATGAACTGCGGAACCTTTGCTTCATTAAGAACTTTTATGCCTTCTATGACATAATTTTTCCCGACATTTCTTGTTAAATCATAATCATGATTAAATCTTGAGCCCTGAAATTTTTGGTAATACAAAATGTTCACTTTGTCTGGTTTTGTTGCAAGCATGCCCCATTTACAAATAAAAAATTTTTTTGCCAGAAATCTTTCCTATTATAAAAAAATTTGTCGAAAAAATGTGAGTTCTGCTGGAAAAAAACAGCAAATTAGGGTGAGGGACATGAGTTTGTCAATCATAGAGTAAGTTATCCGGACAAAATCACATGCCCATACACCCGAAAGGCGGAAGATTTATTGAAGGATTTACCTTCCGGAAAATGTCTGGATAGGTGTCATTTGGTTACATGATCAGCCCTGCCTTTAATATTAACCGCATGTTGCAATCTCCGCAATCTCCGCAATAAAAAAAAAGGATTTTAATAGAAAGTTGCTGCGAATCTGTGTAAAATATTAATATTATAATTAATTACATTCAATTTTCAATCAATGCAAAGCATATTTTCTTTTACAACATTGTTAATTTTGTAGCCCATCAATACTCATAGCCTTCTAATCTTTAGAAAATTTTAATTAAGAATAATCAAAATCAAGGATCTGTAGTTTTCTAATGAGGGAGTTCGACTCATTGCAACATACTTTCTTTCATCAACGTTCAATGTTACGTGTGGTAAGGTCAATCCTTGGGTTTTATGGACAGTCAGAGAAAATGCATTCTGAAGAGGATATTATTTTTTCAATGCTTACCATAAATTTCTCTAAAACAAAAATAGAACACATTATTTTATTATTATTACGTTATTTTTATAAATATCTATTTATATCGACAATTTCTTTTTATATTTTTAAGGTTTCATTTTAATATGTGGCTTTAACTATTCAAAAAACCATCGAACAATCGAATTAACTCTAAATTGCTTAGTGTTTCTTCGTTATTTATTATAAGGATGATCATAATCAATTTTGTGAAACAATTTTTCCTTTCGAAAATTTCCAAATAGAAATGGTGTAATATAAACCTTTTGGTATTCATATAATAAATAAATTCCTTTATTTTCTTTATTCTGGTGCCTTAATTCTTATAAACACGTATTACACAAAGATTGAGGCCTGACTTATATTATTTAGATTACTGGCCTGATAATGCTATGTAATTTTATATACAAAATCTTCAGAGCTTAAGCTACAATCTAATATAATTTTTTTTGTATAATTATATGTACATTTTTGCGTTAGAATAATTATTAAAAAATTTCACGTTAAAATTTTTTAAGTCAAAAAGTTTTTAAAAAAAGATGTGAATTAGCTTTACAAAAAATTGACAATATAAATTTTTTTATTTCAAATGAATCTAACTCTATTTAATTACTCTTTGCATTGTGCAAACCCACCTTCATCTATCCTTCAAATATTTGTTGAGATATGCACACCACCATCATTATTTTCGTTACACTAATATTCTACGGATTTACCTTTATACATAAAAAGAATATTATTTTATTGTCATTAACTGACCATTTTTGCGACGCCGATTTCACCAATTCTTTCGCGAATCGTCAATTAAGTTTTATCATCTCTATTTTGATCTAATTTATCTCATATTTTTCTGCCATTTTCTGTAAACTTCAACAACACACACACCACATCTTTGAAGTATAAATGTAATGTCATTTTTGAATAGCCATAGCTTTACATAAAGAGTTTCTTTTTATATAAAAAACATTCATTAGTAATCCTTAATGGTGTGGGTTTATTTGCTTTAATAATGATTATGTAAAATAGCGAAAAAGACTGTACATAATAATAATAATTAATCCGTTTTCAGTTAATAACATATTACCATACAAAAATTGTTTAAAAAAGCGAGCATTTAATTTGGGTAGTATAATATGTGTAACTACTAAAAAAAAATTTTTAAAAAACAGATCTTCTTCCATACATGACACTTGATCTGTATAGTAATAGGTAATTCAATAATATTATTGATCTAATTGATTCGTCTTTCTAATGTATGTTGAACGGAGCTTGTATCACGTCTTCTGCATTGAAAAGTCTTGTTTGTAAAAAAAAATTTTCCTTTTTGAATGTATTCTCACAACAGTTCGGGTAGAGTTTGTTGATATAAGAATCTATTTAAAATTTTCTTCGCATGAGTTTTCTTTATCAATTATTTGTCATTCACCAATTTAATGTCCTCAAGACTATTATTTCTTTCTATTGATTACTATATTTCCGATAAATATAAAAGTCGAATACGTTAATATTAATATTAATAATTAATAATACTAACCGAATTTTGCATAAATTATCAAATGTGCGACTTATAAATTTTTTAAAAAAATATAAATAGACCGATTATTCTTGAAAAAGATAAAACATTAACAAATAAAGAAACAGAGGTTCGTTTTAAGTTTTTGTAAGTGTAGGTGTCTTTGTTTACGTTTCGTGAAAAAGTTTGTTAAAAAAACTAATAACTTTTTTAATTTTTCTTTTAATTAATTTTATCAATTTTTTTTATGTGTGAACGTAAGGTGTGGGTGCTATCGATTAACCAAATATAAAAGTACAGGAATTTATCAACCAAAGTCGTTATCACATATTGTTATTTTGCGTTAAAGTAATTATTGTAAACGTACGGCTGTTAAAAGAAAATTAACTAAGTTTTTGAAATAAAAAGGAACTTTATCGTTTTCTAAAAGGGTTACATTATTCATTGTAAATCGTACTCTTATAGATCGCCGAAGCTTTCTAGAAGGCAGGAAGCAAGAATTGTTAAATAAAATTCGTAATTTAACTTAATTGGCGAACATTGAATATAAAATTTTGCAACTAACCGACGAGTGTAGCCCGAAAGTTGGTTCTAATTCGGCCATAAACGTAAAGCAATCGATATTAACCAAAAAGCTACCTCGACTGTTAAAGAAAAGGTATGTCCTCTTCATTTTTATAGTATGTAAATAAAGCGCCTATGCTATTTAACATTGATTTCCCACGGACTAATTTACCTTTTACATGACGCCTGTTTTTTTCTTGCTAAGCTGAAGATGTCATATAAGATTGTTATTCTTGGAGATACTGATATTGAAAAGGTAACAAAATTTGTCCTTTTTTAAAAAAAACAATTTGTTTATCTTTAAAACTTGGTTTAGTTGTATTTTTAAATCCCTTTGTTGGTATGTATTTTTTAAATCGCATAAATTTTTCTTTTTACCATGAATTCTATGCATTATAACTAAATAATTATTATCTTTATTTGGATAAAGTGGTAAAATATTTTTAAATATTATTTTTTGTTTAAACACCTCTCTACCTTTACCATTGCCTCCACCTCTATTTCGATATTTACTTTTTACTCTTTTAGACCTATCACCCAACAATTGAAGATTCATATAGAAAACAAGTAGAAATTGATAATCAACCCAGTGGACTAGATGTGCTAGAGACTGCAGGACAAGGTGATACTTTGTTGCTTGTTTATAATGAAATTAAGAATGATAAAACATTTATCTATAATTATAATTATCTTTTTTTAAATAAAAGGGGAACACATACCACTTTGGGATCAGTGGATCAGGTAGAAAGGAATTTAAAGTTTCTAATGATAATTGTAGAATTAAATACTTATACATATAATGCTAATAAATATATAGAGATGGAAAAGGATTTCTTCTGGTATATTCTATATCATCACATCCAACATTTGAACAAGTAGAAATGTTTAAAGATCAAATAATAAGAGTAAAAGGCTCTAATAAAATTCCAATTATACTTGTAGGAAATAAATGTGACAGGCATACAGAATGCGAGGTGTTGAGTGAAGAAGGAATGAATATGACAAAAAGTCTTGGCTGTGAATTAGTTGAAAGTTCAGCAAAGACATTTGTCAATGTAAACACAGTTGTTGAAATGATAGAGCAAAGTAGACAAAAAAAGCTAAAAATGACAAAAAACTTCAAATTACTATTAAAATCATTAAAATTGCAATTAAAATCATTAAAATTACTATTAAAAATGAATGTAGAACATATTTCAGAGGAGGAAAAATGGTTTAAAAATCAACTTAAAAGGGAATGTATTTTATTTCTTGATTATAATTCCTTTCGAAATATTAAAATTATTGATGGTGGATCATTTGGAACAATTTCTTGTGCATCTTCAAAACATCATCAAGGGCTTGTGGCATTAAAATCCATTAATATTGACCAAAAATATACTTTTGAACAATTTCTTAATGAGGTAAATCTTTTTTATTTAATAAATTTATTAATATATTACAAAAACATTTACAAATTGATTTTTTTAAAGGCAAAACAACATTGTAAAGTAGAACATCACAGTAATATATTAAGATTTTATGGCATAACAAAAGAAAGTATGTTGACTTTTCATTATTAATTATTATCATTGGATTACAATATATTTATTATACTTTGTTAATTTAAATTTTTTACACATCATTAAAGAAAAACACAAAAAAAATTACATGTTTGTATTGGAGTATGCAAATAATGGTAATTTATGTGATTACTTAAAATACAATTTCAATATAATGGATTGGAATATTAAATTAAAATTTGCAAAACAAATTGTAAGTGCTGTAAGACATTTGCATGAAAATAAAATAGTACATAGAGATCTGGTATGTATAACATTACTTATTTATATTTAATTATTCTTACATTTTTAATAATAATAATCAACAATTATATTTTAAATAGCATTCTAAAAATATTCTCATTCATGATGGAAATATTAAAATTTGTGACTTTGGAATCTCCAAATCCTTATTGGGTCCTTCAATAGAGGCCTCTAAAGGATTAGGTACAATAAGATACTCAGACCCACAATATTTAATTAATGGTGAAAATTATAGTCGTAATGAAAAATCAGATATTTATAGCATTGGAGTGCTTTTATGGGAAATTTCAAGTGGTCATGCTCCATTTGCAGATAAGGCAATCACATCCAAATGTATAATAGTTGCCATAATATTAGGTGAACGTGAAGCAATAATCAAGGGAACTCCAAGAAAATATGCAGAAATATATACAGGTAATAATGAGAAAGGTTTATTAGTGGTTACATAACTACTGGATATGATATTTTCAATGAACAGTACTTAATAATTTAGATCAATATTAAAATTAATTAAATTTATTTTTATAAAGCATGCTGGCAAGGAAACCCAGACCTCCGTCCAAATATTTATCAAGTTACAGAGGATTTAAACAATATAAATATAAATGATGTTGTTAATTTAACAGATCAAACTATTAATGAATTACAAGGTGATAACTTATTAAATTCAACAGAACTTTCATTCTCAGCACAAATGAATAGTTTAGAAAACCGTTTAAAGGATTCGAACAAGGTAGATGTGGTCAACATTATTGAGGGTGAATTACAAAATGATGACTTACTATATTCAACGGAGCTTCCATTATCAACACGGACTAATAGTTTAAACAGCCATCTGATGATAAGAGAAGTAAGAAAAGCACGTGGTGTATAAATTGTATAATATTTTAGTGTTTTTGGGATAAACACACATGTATTATTGTGTATTATTTATTATAGATGTATCATTATAGATGTATTATTCATTATAGATGTATCGTTATAGATTAGATTTATTATTATTTATTATTTTTATAATTCTGTCGATTCGTAATAATGCAAGTATTCGTAATACTTTCGAGCATTCGTAATTAATAATGCGAGTATTCGTAAATACTTTCGAGCATAATTAATAATGCGAGTATTCGTAATACTTTCGGGCATTCATATAATGGCAATATTTTAATTATTAAAAATGTCGAATTTCATGTTTCGTTTTAAAACAATAACCAACTCCCCAACGATGATATGGTGTAATATGGTTTCCTGCATCCTTTCTGCGTGTACAGAGATAGTAGAAATACCTAGCTTTATTATGGGAGATTTTCTTTATTTTCACTCCAGGATTCTTTTGATTTTTTATTAATAGAGATTCCGTTAGGATTCCCCCCCCCCCGCGAAGAAACCCAACGGAATCCCTAAATAAATATTTATAGGGACCTTGAAGATTTCTTGTTTTACTATTAAGGACCCCTTTATATAATATAAATTACAGATTTTTATTTCTATCGAATAGAGCCATGTTAAATTAATACCAATTTATATTAATAATAGCAGACATAAATCTGCCATGTTGCTTTTGAATTAATAACAGTTTTAAATAAAAATAGCCTGTATCTCAGCTTGATTTATTAATACAAATATACAATAAGAGTTATTTATTACTAGGGTATTTTAAATATTGATGCTAAATTTTTTTTCTTTGATGGTCGCGTAACAATAATTAATTAGTTATTTAACCATATATCCGTTTTTTGAAGAAAACGAATATTAATACAATGTTATATATAATAGAAATAATAGTACCAATACCTGTTACCATTAGAATATTTTTGATGGTCGCGCAACAATAATCCATAGATCTGTTTATACCAACATTAATACAATGTTGCGTAATATTGTTACCTATTAGTAATACCAACTAGAATGTTTTTGATGGTCGCGTAACAATCATCTGTCATTCAACTATAGAAGAAAACAAACATTAATATAGTAATTATCATTAGTAATATCAACTAGGGGTGCATTGATATTTAATGTTGATTTTTTTCCTTTGATGGTCGCGTAAGAATAATTAGTCATCCATTTTTTGAAGAAAACAAATACAATGCAATAGGAATTATTATTAATAATAGTACCATTCCCTGTTGCCATTAGTAATACAGTATATATCAATTAGGGTATTTTTATAGGGATGTTAAAATTTTTTCTTTAATGAGATCCGTTCTTTGAAGGGAACAAATACAATGTTAGTGATTTGTATTAATAAAATTCTTTTTAATGAATGAACGAGTGAAGTGAGATAAACCAACAGTCCTGGTCGTAGTACTCAAGGATCCTATGTCCGCTCATTAACCCTTCCATCTTTTAAAATATAATATAACAGCAACAATAATAATGATACATTAAATAGCAACAATGTTCCAAAGGCTTTGAAATGATCTAGTGGTTGAGCAACAATAGCTATTGTTTTCAAGATGCTAGTAGTTGGTATTATTGACTTATTATATTTGAACTTGTATATTTTCAAAGACACCTACCTGCCTGTCTTTTTAAAGATTATTTTTCTTTATTGAAAAATAAATTTTCTAATACTAAGAGAAAAAGCGCGTAAACAAAAAAATAATCTCGTGAAAAGCTATAGGTTTCTATATAATAAACAGTTGTCATTTTGCCGAATACTGGATAACTACTGAACAATGTCAATCCCGAACAAGATGATTTTGACCAGTGATATTAATTTTAATTATATAGGATTCCGTGATGATCTTGTGAATTCTGTATTAAAGAATTCTTAATATTAAGGTTGTACTTGGGCGAATCCGCACGTTTTGAGCGAATCCGCCCGTTCCGGGAGAATCGTCATTAATCTCTACTAATAAAGTTAAATAAATATGAATGTGCTACGCAGGGCTGGAAATAGGGTCTGAAAAAAAACGGAAGTTTCTCCTGAATGCTAAAAATTTCCCAGAAGAAAAAGGAAAATTTTTTGGGTGCTAAAATTTCTTTACTTTATTCTTCTGTTTTTACTTTGAAAAATTTTACTAAGACATCACTAAAATCATAACCAAATAAATCAGTACCTTCTAAACCAACCATTATTAATATGTGCAATGTGTCATTTTCC